GGATACACTGGCTGACCAGGTTAAGAAGGAATTTGTAAACTTGGTTTGAAAGGCCATGTGTTTCCTCCCTTCTCTTTTTTTAAATTCAAAACCCTGATGAGTCTTAAAATGTATTTGAATTCATTCTCATTCCAAGGGAAAATAAAACAATAGCATCTTGATTTTTAAAAGGGGAAATGTCCTGATCACGAAAAGGAAAAAAAAAAAAAGAGCCATCTACAGCGAGAAAAGACAGATTCTGACACACAACACTTCTCTATGTTCTTATATGTCTAATTTGAAATAATAAATGACTCAGTTAATCCTAAAATAATACTTAGGTTAATAATATTAAATCACTCACTAATGACATTATCGTGTGACTTGAGAAAAAAATCTAACAAGTTCAATTTTAAAAGGATGACCATGTCTTTGTGGCTCAGAAAGGCATCGTCTGATATAATCACATATGTAATTCTTAAAACCCTGTCTTCCTAAGCCAAAAAATCTAACTCTATAAAACTGTGTCCTGGCACCAGTTTTAGAATTTGCATTGTTTTACCCTTCTGTAATTTCATCTGTGATTGGACGTTCTATGATGAGGCTGCTGAGGAACAGACAAGAGTATCAGATATTAAAGTCTAAGAGTCTGCCATCAAAAATAAAAACCAACCAACCAAACAAAAAGTCCTAAAATGGTATGGACCTCCTAGAGGTTTCAGGGAGGTAATGAGAGAGAAGGATAACTCTAGGACCTCATTGAAAACATGGGTAAGGGAGATCCTAGGTTAGGAGCTGATGTTCCACATATTTCTCTTTAATTAGCTGCCTAGAATTTAGAATTTCTTTTCTCAAAGAAACATTAAAAATGGTAACTAGGTTTCCAGGCTAGGCTAAACAAACAAACAAAACATAATTTAGACAATAACAGATTAAAGACTATACATTGACTGTGACAAATACTAATACTAATATAAATATACTGTAAGACACATGTTCCTCTGGGACCTCGAACTCCCTGGGACAGACCTTTTACCCCAGCTTATTTGAGCTGAGTTAAATGTCCCTTCCCACAAGCCCCCAGTTTCACCAAGCAAGGGTGACTCACTGACTGTTAAAAACATTCCCAGTTTCCATGAATTTTTTGTCTTTGATGCCCTTCTCCTTAGTCCATCTATCCAAATACTCTCTGACAATATACACATCAACTCCACATGGTGACAGTTAAAATATTCTAATAGAATCTTACAACTCAAGACTGTGGTGCAGGTAAAAGTGAGGATAAGAATAGTAAAGAAGGACTCTTCTGTCTTCCCTATGTGCCAGCAAGGCCTGATTCTGACAGATCACAGATCATGCCTTCAGACCATGATACCAAGCAAGGTGGAATAGCCATGACTTCATAAGTGCATGGGTTGCAGTGACCAAGTGTGCTCATTCTCTCCCCAGAGCCCACAACTATTCCACACATAGTAAGTGATGAGGAAAGAATAAATTATTACATAAGCCTTGCTTCCAAATTTCATCATCATCCTACAGCAGTCCTCCTCCTTCCTATACTACTCATCCCCTTCTGCCCCTCCAAAGTGAATTTATGGCCAGCTTAGTTGGCCTTCTATGCTCTAAGTTCAAATCCCAAGTAGACACAAATTTTGCATCAAAATATGGGCTACTATATCTGTGAACAGAGAGTAATGCCAAGCACCATCCCATACACACACACACACACACACACACACACACATACACACGCATATGTGTGTAAATATTTCATGAACAATGGCTGTTTAAAAACATGTGGTCAAAAAGAAATATGGCAGCTCAGGAGATATCTGGCCTTATTATAGGCAGCCTGGCTATTAACTTTGCAGGATGCTTCTTAGCTAATTTCAGTTACACAAAAGGCTATTAATAAGCATTTATTAAAATAAATACAATGGATAATGTAGATAACTTGGGTATTTATAAATTGGAGAATATTAAGATTCACCAGTTTTAAAAATTTACATACAACTTTGAATATATATATATAGAAAGAGAGCATAGGATCCCAGTCCTAATAATTTTAATGTACTCATAAAGTAAAGGAATAGAAGAATAAAATACAATGAGATCAGAGTTCCTACTCCCATGCCACTAGCAGGTATAAAGTTCTACATCAGTCTATACTTTCCTATTAATATAAACTGAGATTAACTTACTTGTTCAAAATATCTAAAAATACACGGAAGTAGAAAATTATTTTTCTTGTTTTTCTAAAAGTACAGCTTTTTCAGAGTTTTAGTATCATTGTATAAAGTATTAACAATTACAGTAAAAGTAAATTTTCTGTGTTAATACTCTATGGGTCATATTGTATACTTGCTAGATATGCACTTTTGAAAAGCCCACTTTTTTATACTTTGCTTTGAACATTGTTTTGTGTTTTATTAAACAGCACCATTTGATTATGATAGCACAAAATGGTATTTTCCTAGAAACTGTTTTCCCTAGGTCATAAATCTCTGGAATCACCAAATATACTCTACAAAATCCATAACTATTCTTATCATGACAGTCCAAAGTAGATATATACTCCTTTACACTTAGGTAGAAACTTCAGTGAAGAGACATAGTTAATGAACAAATAAAACAAAGGCAGAAGCATGGAACTACATTCTAGGCATGAAAGCACTCAAGGGCACAGGCCTAGTTCATATCTTGTTCTCTGAATAATTTGTATTCTTTCGCCACACTAAGATTTCTCAAGACCATCTTTCTCTCCACCCATCTTTATTTCCCCCTCTTTCCAAACATCTGACTCATCAACTTTTTATTCAGCCTCATGTAATAAGGCTTCGAAATTCATTCACTCAGATTTTTGTGAAATTACAGCAAGAGGAGATCCTTGTGGAATCAGAGCATTGTGAATGAGTCAAAGAAAGGGAACATGGAGAGCATGGGATAGGGATGAAAGGAAATGGGAAACCACAGGGTACAGGTCCATTCTGCCTGAATCTAAAAAATATTCCTCTTTTCACTTTTTCACAGTAGCAAGGCAGAACAAACATTATCCCATTAAGCCTCTAAGTTGGTTTAAGAAATACCATCTACCTACACTAGGTAGCTCATTACAGAAAGCACGGAAGCAGTCTCAGGTTTCGTAAGTGGATAGCCAGAGCATGGGTGAATACCTCCTCCCCTGTGACTTACTAGTGAGAGGTCACTTGTGTTCCAGTGGCTACTCTCATTTCTCAAGCTTAGCCTACAGTTATTATTTTATATGCCCTTCCCAGGGTAATAGCAAGTTTTCACATGAAGCAACTACATAAAATTTCCTATTTCATTCGTGATATTTTTTACACCAGCACCATTAGGAAGGAATTAACCAACACAGAACGGTGTGTTCTACCTTTGTGCTAAGTTTGTCTTTCTGAGACACAAGAGGTAGAAAAGCTCTGAGATAGGAAGGAAATGATAGACAGGAACTTTGGGGTGTGGCTCTGACTGTATGGAGACTGGAGAACTTTGACAATGTCTGAACTCTGAAGTATGCAAAGTGCAATTATCTGCCAAAACTGATGTTCAGCTCCGCACAGTTGTGTAATGGGAAACCCTGATGCAATGCCTAAATAACCAAAATCACAGAGATGAAGGGAAGGGTATATCCTACCCAGCTTTTGTAGGTGCAGCATAACTTCAGTGTAACAGCACACAGAAGAAAGATTAAGGGAAGATTCCATTAAAAACTGCCTTTTAACCACTTTCCATTGCAATGTCTAATTAAATAGCTTATTTCTCAGTGCCAAACTTGAGATTCCTACTAAAGAAGTTAAAGCCACATCAATGTCAAAGAACAAATTTTGTCACATACAGAAATAATTCCAGCACACATTTTCTCCACAATACAAATCCCACGTATGGTAATCATGCTGTAACCACTGCTCCATTTACACTAACAACAAATACAAAACTACAAGAATATATTTTCATTTCTAGGGAAGGGAGGCAGAGTCACAACATGTAACATTAGTCTCTTCGGCTACTGGGAGGCAGTGCAATACTGCAAAAGGACTAGGTAATTTTAAATCATAAGATCATTTCTAAAATCCTGTTGGGCTAATTTTTTATTTCAAAAGCCTTTAGATGCTTTAAAACTAAAAGCAATTGAAGCAAATTAAGAAAATGGTAAAGTGTAAAAATAACATAATAGCACAACTACTTCCACTAGAAGAATCAACCAACTGAGGATCCCTATCGAACTCCAGCCGCTAAAGGGAAAAGTTTGCTAATACAAGAAAACTATATATATGTAGGCTGCTGGACAACCTCTAGATGCTGCTGTAGAGACCCCCTTCCTAAAGACTTATTTCTTCCCCTCTATTTTAGCCTCCCCCTCCCCCTAACCGCACTGCACTGCGCAAAGCCATTACAATCACTTCAAACATATTTGCTGTTGAAAAAGCCTCAGAAACTGATATTCTTCAAGGTTCAAGAAACCATGGCTTTTTACTTTTTACTATAGATGGATGAGCTAGACAAAATACCAGCCGGTTAGCAGGCTGTGTCAAAGCAACGAGGAGGCCGAAGAAGCAAAAACACAGCTACCACCAAAGCCCTCCTCCTTCCCCGAACGCCCCCCTCCCCCCGGCCATCTCGCTAAATGGACTATTACTAAATGTTAAAAATCAATCCTGTGCCTAAGTTAAAACTGTCAGATGAGACTGGGAGATATGGGAGTAGGGCGGAGTGGTTCCTGCGACGAGCTCTCAGCAGCACAGACTCCATCTGATATGTCAGCTCCAGCATCCGAGAAGCTGAAGAGAGATGGAAGCTCAGAGGAAAACCGTGCAAACGTCACGGGGGGAGGGGGAGGCCTTAACGTTCGGATCAGATTAACCAGTGCCGGATCGCGGGCCCCGCGCCCCGGCATCTCCTCTGATCCGCAGCATCCCAACAGCCGCGGGGAGCGAGGGACTGCAGGGCCGGGACAAGTGTCTCCCCGCAGGGCCGGACGAAGACAGGGAAGGCAGCCGCTTTACCTGCGATGGACCAGGTCCAGCGATAGAACTCCACGGTGTCGTTTAGCGCCGTGGACACCACGTTGAGGACACTGCCCGGCTCCGAGTCCAGGAGCCCCATCTCGGCGGTAAGCGGGCGCCGGCGGCAGCGGGAGGAGAAAGCGGAGACACCGTGGGAGGGTTGACCTCGGAGGCGACGGCCGACCGAGTGAGCGGCAGCCGGGGACCCCTCTAACGGCGGCGGCCCAGTTGCGTCTCCTCTTCCTCCTCGGGGTGCCGCGGCGACAGGGATGCGGCGGCCGCGTCGACTAGCCGGGCGGAGTAGAAGGTACCGTCCAGGCTCTTAGAAGAAAGCGGAGGAGGAGGAGATCCCGCCGTGAGCGCCAGGCGCTGCACCAGTCTGTCGCCTCGCGCGGCCGCCGCTCCAATCTCCTCGGCCCAAGTCACGTGGCCGAGCGCGAGGCGGAGGGGCTACTGCCCCTCCTCCCGCCCGCGCGCTAGGACTCTGGCGCAGGGATGCGGCTGTCGTGGGACCGCGAGAGTCAGGTCCGCGCAGGCGCGCGCCGTCCCATACCTCTCGTCTCTCACCCTTTGCCTGGTCGCGCCGGAGCAAGACACTCGGGCCCCTCTTGGTTACCTACGACAGCCAGTCTCCCCAACCCTCTCCTTCTCCGCCCACAGGAGGAGGGTACGCCGCCCCTGCGGAGGGGTATGCTGCCACCCCACGGGTGACCTCGCATCCGCCCCTGATACATCTTAGGAAACAGGACGGGGAAGAATGGGCGTTTTGTGGGCAAGGATGAGGTAGGCGAGGTGCTTTGGTCCTTACCTGTCATTCACTTCTATCTCCTTTGGGTTCTTTTTTTTTTTTTTTTTATCCACCCCCACCGGCACATGCCTATCATGACAGGAGAAATGCACAAGTTATCCCTCTCAGTTAGCCAAGTGATATTTGTCTTCCAAGCAGCCGTGGTGGAGAATGATGGACTGTAGGGTCTACTCATTAACCAGTTTACAAATAATTTGACTGAATGCTTGCTTGTGTTTTGTAAACTCTTTTAATATACATGGAATAATCAAAGCAATATAGTTGTATTAAATAATGTCGTTACAGCTTCAGAGAAGAAGTAGGACCGAGAGGGGATTTAGGATCAGAGAAGTCCTCTTGGACCTGAAGGATTTGAGATGAATGTAAAAGGATCATTGCTTAGGAGACAAAGGACAATCTAGGTGAAAGTGGAAAAAAATTTTTTTTAATTTAAAAAAATGTTTAGATGGTAAGGTGGGAGTCAACAGGATAATCTACCCCTGAAAAGTGAACCTCCTGAAAAGTAGCAAATATACACTACATACAGTTCTTAATTTGATAGTTTTTGACATCAAACAAGACCTAGGAGAATAGTTTGGTAAACTTCTCACCTACTTCTTGCTTAAATACTTGACCTACTCTCTGTTTAACCCTTTGTCCAATTGTTGGTTTAGTATGCTCCCTTTAGAGGCCACGGAGTCAGGTGTGTGATTGCGTCTGCTCTTTGACACTGTTAAAATAATGTGAATACTGTTTTTTATCACATTTATTTGTTTTCCAGTTGATTTGGTTGTATATCCTTCGACTTTATTTTATATTGGAAACATCCTAGAGAATGAGAATTATTTTCGGTTCTTCGTTGAGGACTTAACCCAGTGCTATAAATAATAATATTTATGATGATGTCAAATTTATAACATGCTTATTTCAGAACTTGAAGACTGTTATAAGTGAGAGGAGCTTTAGGAAGAGAAAAGGTAATTAAATGTAATTGATTTATTGTCTCAAGCAACCACAATCTTCTTTAATGCTCTGTTCCTGAAATTAACCAAATAAAATGTAATTTATCAAATATATTTACCTGATTAAAGTTTTTGGATTGAATTATGGTTTCTCAAGTCTCAACCCCAAGTTTTGTGTATCATACTGATTCTAGTAGATATATATAGGTATAGATATATAGATATGTAAATATCTCTCTGTATATACATACATTTTTTTTAAATCCAGTCAAGTCATAATACCTGGAGAGTAGATAAAGATCAGGGCTCTACTCATGTACTTTGATGACCTAGCATAGTTCAGTTTAGTTTGGCCTGCTTCTAGAAAATTGATTACTACTTTTATATTGTGAAATCCTGGATGCTTTTTATGGAGAACAGATCCCCACCCTCACCTGCATTCACACGCACAAAACATTAGCATCTTTTTTTCCCAAGTTTTTTAATTTAAATTCTGATTAGTTAACATGTATGGTAAAATTGGTTTCAGGTGTAGAATTTAGTGATTCATCGCTTACATATAACATCCAGTGCTCATCACAAGTGCCCCCTCTATTCTCTGTAGTTAAGAGTGTATTATGGGTTGCTTCACTGTCTCTTTTACTTGTTTAATACAGTGTGAACTTGTTAAAACAGCTTCAGACATTTTTCTAGCCTCTTTGTAGTAGAGGCCAACTTAAGTCCCTTTATTCACTAGGGGGCGCCTGTCACATATAAGAAACTCCTAGGCAAATAATGACCAATCTAAGTTAGGGGTGGCATTTAACATTTCCTCCACACTACCTGGAAGAGTAGTAGGTTTATTTGCATTTATGAGCTATTAAATATACACCAAGAACAAGAACCCTAGAACTTACTCACTCAGAAGCTCTATTACCCAGCATAGAGACTACAGTCCAGTACATACTCAATTCACAAGTGGTTTACAAATACTAAAGGCTGACCAAACCAAAGTCTAGCTAATCTGTGCAGAGGGAAAGAGACCTGCATATTTACTCACCTAGAGTGGCAGCCATTTAACCAAGATCTTGGTGGCATCATGACAGAACAAAATCAAATATAAGCATTCATAGTATCTGCAAAATTTTTAGGACTAGAGTTCTTTGTTATGGGTTAAATACAAGTAAGATAAAGTTATCTACAAAAACTGAGAGAGGATATGATTATAGTACAAATTGATTTTATCTAAAATAGCAAAGTATTTTAACATTTCTTACAGCCCATACAGAATTAACATAAATCAAGCTATCCATGGTTTCTCTAGTGTGTCTGCCTTTCCACATTGTCAATAATATCAGCAACCTGTGCTTTCAAAGAAAAGTGAACTTAAGAATCTGTTGAACCAGGAGTGAAAGCAGGTAGCTTGATGAAGAATTGTAGAAAGACCTTAAATCTTACAGAAGTAAACTGTAGCTAATACTTAGAAGAAAATGGAGAAAATCATTGGTAATACAGTTGACCCTTGAACAACACAGGTTTGAACTGAATGGGTCCACTTATGTGGATTTTTCCCGAAAAATATATTGAATAAATTTTTGGAGCTTTTTAACAATTTGAAAGAATTCAAAGATGAATCACATAGTCTAGAAATATCAGAAAAATTAAAAGGTATGTCACGATTGCATAAAATATAGATAGATAGTAATCTATTTTATCATTTGTTACCATAAAATATATGCAAATCTCTTAACAAAAGTTAAAACTTATCAAAACTAACCCACACAAACATTTAAAGACCATACATGGCACCATTCACAGTTGAGAGAAATGTAAACAAAGGTAATATTAAATCATAACTGCATCAAATTAACTAGTACATACTGTAGCACTCTAATAATTTCATAGCCCCTTCCTGCTGTTACTGTGGTGAGCTCACGTGTTGCCAGTATCTGCTTAAAACACTGTGTGATACTAATCATCTCTGTGTGAATAGTTTGTCTTTCCAGTAAATTGCAAATCACAGTAAAAAGGGATCCCTTAAGGTTCTCACATATTTTTCATCATGTTTAGCGCAATACTGTAAACCTATTGAATAACAAGGTTATAAACATGGGACCTATACAAAGTGTCACTAGTGATGCTAGAAGTGCTCCCAAGAAGCAAAGTCATGATATTATAAGAAAAAGGTGAATTGCTTGCTATATGTAGCATAGATTGAGGTCTGCAGCTGCAGTTGCCTGCCATTTCAAGACAAATGAATCCAGTGTAAGGACTGTTGTTTACAAAAAAAAAAAAAAAATGAGAGAGAAGGGAAGTCATGAAGCTGTTACTACAGCTCTGCCAGCAGGTGCAGAAACCTTGCATTTTTTGCAAAATCCCTTTCATCTTGTACTGAAAATGCAGCTTTTATGTGGGTTCAGGATTGATGTAAGAAGGGCATAGCTATAGATTCTAATATGATTTGAAAAAAAGCAGCTATTGTATGACAACTTAAAACAAAAGGAAGCTGCAGTATGTGATGTTGTAGAATTTAATGCCAGCAAAGGATGGTTTGATAATTTTAAAAAGAAGTTTGGCTTTAAAAATGTCAAGATACAGGAGAAGCAGCTTCTGCCAACCAAGAAGCAGTAGATGAGTTTGCAGACACCATTAAGGAATTAAGAGAAAGAAAGGAAGGAAGGAAGGGAGAGAGGGAGGGAGGGAGGAATCATTAAGGAGAAAGGATATCTGTTTAAACAGATTTTTAATGCAGACAGAAGTGCCTATTCTGGAAGAAAATGCCACAAAAGATGTATATTAGTAAGAAAGAGATGTGAGTACCAGGATTTAAAGCAAGAAGGGATAGGCTAACTATACTGTTTTATGCAAACGCGGTCAGGTTTATGCTCAAGACTGTTCTTATCTACAAAACTACTAACCCCTGAGCCTTGGAGGGAAAAGATAAATACCAGCTGCCAGTCTTTTGGTTGTACAACAAGAAGACCTGAACAACAATAACCCTTTTTTCTGGATTGGTCCCATTAATGCTTTGTCCCTGAAATCAAGAAGGACCTTGTCCATAAGGGATTGCCTTTTTAAAAAATTAACATACAATGTATTATTTGTTTCAGGGATACAGGTTTGTGATTCATCGGTCTTACACAATTCACAGCACTCACCAAGGCACATACCTTCCCCAGTATTCATCACCCAGTCATCCTATCCCTTTATTTTAGAGAGAGTGTGTGAGCAAGCAAGGGTAGAGGGAGATAGAGAACCCCAAAGCAGACTCCCCATTGATCACGGATCCTGACAGGAGGCTCAAACCCAGGACCCTGAGATCATGACCTGAGCCAGCCACTTAACCACCCAGGCACCCTGGAGATTGCCTTTTAGCATTGTTTTGATCCTGGACAATACCTCTGGCTACCCAGAACCCCATGAGTTCAACAGCAAAGTTGTTGAAGTGGTCTCCTTGCCCCCAAACACGGTATCTCTAATTCAGCCTCTAGATCAGGGGGTCATAAGGACCTTTAAGGCTCATT